CATACAACATTTTGCATTACTTTTCACGCAAGGATTACTTTTTTTTGTTTTGAGACAACCAATGATAAGAACAAAAGTCCTGGTTCTTGCCTGTTTTGTGTTCTACGTTGCTGCTGTTCTTAAACTACTATGGGGTTTTTCACCTGAATAAGGAAGGCAAAGATAATTCTCCCCCACTGAAAAAACACATTTTCCTTTTTCAATTAAAGCATGCTAAGAGAGACACAGCAACACTAGAATTTGACAGTCACGCTCGCTTAAACTAAGTTCACTAAAAAAAAATCCACTTAGATCAATAGTTAAGTGATTATTGCCAAACCTATCAGTAAAATAAAGTTAATCTATATTGAAAAAATCCTTACTATTCAAACTCCAGGAACTTTTATACAGCAGAAATAAAAATGTCACAAGTTGTTACAGTTTATAAGCTGGAAGACTGTAGAGATTGAAAGACCACTGAAATAATCTTAAAGGACATTCAGAATTCTGCCAACACGACATTTTTGCTGCAGAAATACTAGGTTCATGCTCTTCAAGGTGGATTTCAAGTGCTAGCGAGCAAATAGTACTAACTCAATTGGATAGTGAACTGTTTGCTGTGTCAAAGCTTTTTGCCAAACACAGATACATATAATTTTTCTTTTCGCTCTATGGATAATCAACCCCAGATGGCAATTGACATAGGCAACAGCATAAAGGAATCCATGCACTGCTGGTGCTCTCAGCCTCAATCAGAGCAAGCATGGGCGTTTGAGAATGTCACTGTTTATTTTTAATTGCTGTGTCTCTCCTTTGTGCAGGTTCAAGCGGTCAAAGATGTCGAAGTCCATTAGTAGAACTGGAAGGTGATGCCACTTCATTTGGTGAGAGGGTTCCTCAAATTTTAAAAGCAGCTGGTTTGTAATGTCCCTAAATGCCCAGTGGGCACCAGCTGTCAATCTCAGTTACCATAGGGTCAGGGCAAAAAAAGGTCAGAAAGAGTCATAAACCGCAATGTGTTGTGAAATGTGCTTCCTCCATTACCTTGTAGGCCTGAGAAAGATTTGACCTTTTATAGGTATCCTAACCCAACTCTGCATGATGCTAGCAGGGGTAAGTATAACACACAACTCAAACTTACAAAAGTTGCTTCCTTTTACTGTGCCTTAGCTTCCATACCTGTACAATATGAACATGAATATTCACAAGCTGCTAGCAGCAAAAAACAAATGCAAAACTCTGCCCACTGCTATTACCACTCAGAGGTATGGACACATCTATTTCACACAAGGCAGTGGAAGGATTAATTCATTAACAGCAACTGAAAAGAACTAAGATTTTGAGGGAAGTTGATAATGCCATAAAAGCCGAATGATCTGGCTTCTTTTTGCCAATGACCTCTATCTGCTAGCTTGCCTTTCACCTCACTGCTTCCCCAGTCACTTGGGAAGAAAGCATCTTTTAAAGTCCCACTTAAAGGCTTTCCTTCTGTCCTGTTAAACACTCATTTGCAACATGCAAGTTATTCACTATACCACCACAAGGTGGTCAAACGCTGGAACAGGCTTCCTAGAGAGGTGGTCAATACCCCAAGTCTGTCAGTGTTTAAGAGCCATTTGGATGATGGCCTTAATAACATGCTTTAACTTTTGGTCAGCCCTGCAGTGGTCAGGCAGTAGGTCTAGATGATCATTGTACGTCCCTTCCAACTAAAATACTACATTCTATACAGATTCTCAAAGAACAGATTGTAATTCCTAAACATACTTCTCCAAAACATTATGGGACTATACATGAAGAGCTAAGCAGTCACTTGCAGATATCATCTAGTTACGCATTTTTTCTTTGCAAGAAGTAATTACTCTGCTCTGTCTCACCCCCATCTCCCAGAGCTCAAAGTGACAGGAAGTTTGGCCAGTGCTATGCCAAAAGGAAAGTAGCTAACTCAGCTATGCAAGACCCCCGTTGGGCAGGAGGCAGGAACCATCACTCAGCACTCATCAGCCTTGCACTCCTAACTATTTGTCCCTCCTTGGACCCCTTGTGCAGGCAGGCCCAGGACAGCAAGCAGGATACAACAGAAAAGGGAAGGAACTCTGGCAAGGGGAAAGCAAGAGAGGCTGAAACCAGAGCTACAATCCCAGCAAAGCTTAATCCCTGCAGGAATTACAAGCACAGCTCCCAGAACAGGCTGCATGCTGCAAATGAGAATTATGGGCAGTGAGGAACTCCACTGGGAAAGCAGACACGATGGGGTACGTATCATGTAAGTCAGTTTTATGCAAACGACAACATGATAAAAACCAGATGATCACAGGTATCACAGAAGCTGACCAAAAGTTATCAGCTATCAGCAAAATGTTTCAGGTAAAGTCAGAATGCCTCACTTAGTCCCTCACTTGCCCACAAAGTATAGGCAAAAACGGGAAAGCAGCATGTTCACTCAATGAAAAAATAAGGTCCTTATAGCAACATGACTTGAGGATAATACTGACAGCACAAAAAGGGTCCCATCCAGGCTTGTCCAGCCAAAAGCTGCCTACTCTCAGAACGTAACCAGACAGGTCCACTTGGAAGTGACAGCTGCAAAACACTCCTCAAGGCTTGACTCATTTTGGGCAATTAATAAAAAGGGAAAAACAGAACAGTCCGAATCAGCATCTGTGAAACATGCTTCACCTGTTCCAAGCATAAAGTCACCTTGTTTTCTTTTAAAGGATGAATATATTTTAAGGAAATAAAATAGCAACAACAGTTAAGCAGTTCAAAGGCCATTGAAAGGCCTCTTGACTTTCTACAGGCTCTCTAAAAAAAAAAAAACAAAAAAAAAACCACACCACTATGGCAGCAAGCCACATACTTAATCCCAGCAGTTCTCCCAGAACATGCTGACATCAATTAAAGCCCCAACAAACAAAGAGAATATGCATCAAGCACTTCAATGCCATCTTCTTGTCTTTTCCTGCACTTCCAGGCATCTCAGGAAGCCTACCTAGTCAGATTCTTTTGCAAGCCTTCTCACTGCAGCACAACATCTCAAATGAAAGTAACCTCACTCAAGCCTTGTTCAAACCTTGGGTACATTCTATCTTGGAAACATGCTGATCTTGCTTTTCTGAATTTGAAAGTTTAATACACTACTCTGGGTCAGTCTTCTCTCCTCTTCATTCAACTAAAATTGAGCTGGTAACTTTACTGGCTGCCTTATTTAAAAATATCTATGTCCCCTCCTATTATAAGCTGGCTTATAGTAGAGCACAAAAAAAAAAAAAAAAAGAAACAGACATTGAAGATAACTGAATAATTTCAGACTGGAAGAGAACACTCTCTTCTCTATCTGTCAGCGAAGAGAGTGGGGGGGGGGGGGGGGGAGTGAAAATGAGAGACTCACCTTCAGGGCAGGAATCTCCACATTGTCACCAAGGCTAACAGAGCCAGAAAGAATAGTCCCTGTCATCACTGTGCCTTGACCCTTGATAGAGAAACAGTGGTCGACTGCCATAAGGAAGTGTCCCGAGGGGTCTCTTGACGGCAGGTAAGCCTGAGACTTCAGGACCTGAAAGAGACACACAAAAGCAGCACCATGCCTGGGTAAAAAGTCATGACAGCCATATAGCAAAAGGCAGGCAAGTGGATGATTGATTGAACAAGCTTGCAGTTTTACTGATTTTAAGCATCTCCCAATGAGCTTAGAATGCACCGATGTCAAATTAACCTCGTGCCATAGAAGAGATGCACACTTAGCAGTGGGAACAGTTCGATTTTCTGCCTCAGAAAGATTTGGTGCTGCACATTTAGCTTGGTTAGCAAAACTGCACTGGCAACAGAGTTGCTGCCAAACTCAATATAAACACTGCAGCAAAGCAGAGAGGAAAAAAGCCTGTACATCCCCCTTTTTTCTCCCCCTCTCAAAAGTACAATTTTACAGTGCATTTTGCTACTTCAGCTTTTTTGATTTTGTGAAAATGAACTTATATAGAGATATTAATACCCCATAAAGCCCATCCCTGCCACCCACCCAAAAAACTATTGTACTGAGATAAGTTTTCAAAGTCAATTTCCCTTTCAGATTTCTGTTGACACTTCTTGGAGGATCAAACCACTAAAAAAAAAAAAAAGTTATGCAAGTACCATTTTCTAGAGAAATTCTCCAAGTTCAGGATTTCTGTTTTGCTGACAAATACTACGTTTCTTAAAACAAATCATCATATACAGAAGACCTTAATTCTTAGAAATGCAGTCAAGTACCCAACAGTGCTTCAGAGGAACTGCTTCACCACTGTCTCAAATCACTTTTAATCACTACCTCTGTTATAACATCAACATATAAACTTGGCACTCACTTTAATGTCTGCTTTTAAGGTCCAAAACTGCTGGTTAAGCCCAAGTTGTAACAGCGTAACAATGGAGAGAGTATCTTACCAAGGACAGAAAGGATAATGCTTTTAAGTTCAATGGCAGAGCTCAAACAGTGTTTGCCAGCTCTTCTAATTTTAGGTCTCAGAGTTGACAGAAAAAGTTGCAACATGGGTCTTTCCCTCAAAGGTTTTAACCTTGGGGAACATCTCAGTAAATCTACCTGGCACCAGATGAAGGGAGAACTAAGGACTTGCCTATCTCCAGCTCTCTAGACATTGCTGGGGGCAGCCCTATTCTTGCTAAGTCTGTTCTAAGGCCATACCACATCACACCCCCATGCCCACCTAGGGCCACATGTGGGAGGTACAACATGGCTCAGCAGCAGCGTGGAACATCCTACCTTCGTACAAGCCAGGCTGCCCTGGGCCAGACATAACTACATTTTTGATGACTGGTGCTACACCCCAACTTCAGCAATTTACAAGTATTTTAAACCTGGCAGCATCCAAATCAGACCTAGACAAGTCTGCAAAGAATGATGACTGTTTTAGGACTACTTTCTGCTGTCTACAAGCAACAGGGTCACTCCTCCAGAGCAAATATGCTGGATACAAAGATGCTTTTCCCTAAAGCTTATTCACAGAAAGGGTGACAAGTCTACTACAAGCTACAAACAGCTCTCAAACAGCTATATTAAGTATCCTGCCCTTCACAGTGTAAGTTTCATACTGTATAACTTATCGTAAAACTTAGGGTTTTTTGAAAACTCGAGAACTTCTCTCTCTCCCTTACCCCCCACCCCCAGAAAAAAAACAACCAAACCCACATTGCTGGAACTAACGATACCTGTGAAGCACCAGTTTGCTTAAAGTCTTTTCTTGTTCATATGGGTCTGATACAGTGTTAGTTATACAATCATACAGGTTTTTTCCAGCCCCTACCTCATTCAGGGCACAGAGTAAATCCAGGCCATGCTTTTTATCTGTCGTAGCTGTGCAAGGCACACAGTAAGCAAGGCAGAGTATCACAGAGAAAGATGGTTTCATCACAAAGGCAGGCGGTGCTCCTCTAGAGAACAGATTCTACACTTGCTTATGCCAGAACTCCCATGTATTGTCATTCTCTTAAAAATGAAACTTTCCACAGGTAATCACTGACTATACACCTCAGACTGTCCAAAACAGAAACCCCAAAGCTTATCAGAAGTGCTAAGCACTCACAATTGCAGTCAAAGTTGGCAAGTACTATGATCTGAACACAAGCATGTCCCAAAAAAAGTTCCTAGTTTCCTTAAATTTGGCAACTGAAATTAGTAAACTCAGCAGACTTAACTCCTTTGTACCTCAGCTTCCCAATCTAAATATGGATTAAAGTCACCTCTACACTTCCTATAGGTCTTTTGGAAGTAAATTAACCATTTGCCAAGTGCTCAAGACCACATTGATGTGTGCCAAAGAAAAGTCCAGGAGGAAATTAATCATCCTGAATGCAGAGCAGCATTTGAATGGAGTCATGAGGCCACACAGAGAATAATGAGAATTAAAACAAGATACGGACTACCTGCTTGCTAGTTGAGCCCTGTCCATCCTGTGCAAGGAACAAGGTAAGGGTTGTTTAGAATAAGGAATCATGCACTTAAACGCTGAATCATAATACACACATGAAGGAAGGAGACAATTCCTAATGTATAACTTTTGAGTGCTTGACTTCAGAACTTTACTGTTTTCTTAATTGTGGTACAATTATAAAACACCACCTACCAAGGATTTGGCAGAATTTTAAGACTATTGTTATTCATTACGATTCATAATTCTTTACAACTTTAAAACCAATTTCACCACACATGTGATAGCTGTGTCTTAAGACACAGCTATTCAAAGGCACAGAAGCCTAGTAGTTGAAAAAAAAAAAAAAAATGCACTTTTGGGACATGTCACCTCAACTTCTCCATTCACTGGAAGGAATCCCTAAAGAATCAGGTTCCTTAAAACTGACATTAATGCAGGGGTTCCTCAGCTCTAGATACTAATACAGTGTACTCCCCAAAAGACTTAAAGAAAAC